AGCGCGGCGGACCTTTCGCTGCCGCCGCCGCCGCCGCCCATCAACACGCCGCACCCCGTGTACATCAGCACGCGGAGTCTGGGGTCCACAGTTGCGGGCCCCGCCAGCCGTCCCGGCGCGGCGACACTGGGCGTGTGACCGAGGGCGGCGGAGCCCCCTGCCGCCGGGCGGGAGACCCAGCGCTCTCAGCCGCCCAGCAGGAGCTGCGAGACCTGACCTGACTGATAAGCACTGCCTGTACACTCGTGATGCTTGCAGGGTGAAATTGGGGCACCGCCCCTCGTGACCAACCCTCGCGAATCTGGCACACGGTGAGGGGGCAGTACAGATCGACCCCGAGGACACGCGAGAGGCTTCGCCAGGCGTGACATCCCCAGAGAAAGGCATCGACCCCAATCCAACCCTCAAAATCGCCCTTCCCTTCACCGATCAACCCATACAGATATCCACCATGGCCAAGGTCAAGCTCGGAATCAACGGTGCGGGGGCGGGGAGGGGGGGGCAGGACCAAAACCCCGGGGCCCGGAGGTTGGCGGGGCATCGCGCCAGCGATGCGGGAATCGGTCCAGACCTGCTCGATCATGCCTCGCGATGACATATGCCGATGTCCTGATTTGGGTTGCCCCCTCCCTCGCGCAGGCTTCGGCCGCATCGGACGTCTGGTAGGTTCTACAGAGGGTTTTCCCGCGACGTGCATGCGGGCCCCGATCACTGCGGCGCTCCCCGGTGCATTGCCGTCGAGATCCAGGATGGAGGATGCGGGGGTGATCGGCGTTGATCACCCCAGGCTGTGCCCCAAGCCCGGCTGACGTCCGACTCGCCCTCCCCCACCCCACCCTCAGGTGGCCCGCGCCGCGCTGCAGAGCGACAAGGTTGAGATCGTGGCCTACAACGATCCCTTCATCCATGGCGAGGTGAGTGTTTATGGGGTTGGCGTGTGGATGGCATGGAAACATCAAGGTGGTGCAGATTTTTGGAGCTGGAATGGTTGGTGGCAAATCCAGATCCGCACCCTCCTGCATTGCCTTGCTGCACCCATCTCACCGCGGTGTCCCTCCCTCCCATCCCTCTGCAGTACGCCGCCTACATGCTGAAGGTATCATCCAGAGGAGCCATGCTTTGGTGTCTTGATGCGGTGTTGCGTGATGAACACGAGGTTGTGAAAGTTGGGAACTCAACGGTATGCGCCCCCTGGTCCAGGGGGCAACCCCTTGCAATCCCCCCCCCCTACTCACCCTTTCCCAATCACCTCTGCAGTACGACTCCGTGCACGGCGTGCTGGAGGGCGACATCGTCGGCTCTGAGGATGGCATCTCCGTCAACGGCAAGATGATCCGCGGCTTCGACAAGATGAAGGCGGAGGAGATCCCCTGGGGCGAGGCCGGCGTGGACATCGTCTGCGAGTCCACCGGCGTCTTCACCGACGTGGCCAAGGCCGGCGCGCATCTGAAGGGCGGCGCCAAGCGCGTGGTCATCTCCGCTCCCTCCCCCGACGCGCCCATGTACGTGATGGGCGTCAACCACACCGAGTTCGACGCGGCCAACGACACCGTGGTGTCCAACGCCTCCTGCACCACCAACTGCCTGGCCCCCCTGGCCAAGGTCATCCACGACAAGTTTGGCATCAAGGAGGGGCTGATGACCACGGTGCATGCCACCACCGCCACCCAGAAGACGGTGGACGGGCCGTCCAAGAAGGACTGGCGCGGCGGGCGTGCGGTGGGGAACAACATCATCCCCTCCTCCACCGGCGCCGCCAAGGCCGTGGGCAAGGTGCTGCCCGCGCTCAACGGCAAGCTGACGGGCATGGCCTTCCGCGTGCCCACCCTGGACGTCTCCGTGGTCGACCTGACCGTGGTGCTGGAGAAGCCGGCCAAGTATGCCGACATCCTGGCCGCGCTGAAGGCTGCCTCCGAGGGCGAGCTGAAGGGTATCCTGGGGTACACCGAGGACGCGGTGGTGTCCTCCGACTTCATCGGCAACCCGCTGTCCTCCATCGTGGACGCGCAGGCGGGTATCCAGCTCAACGATACCTTTGTCAAGATCGTGTCCTGGTACGACAACGAGTGGGGCTACTCCAACCGCCTGGTCGACCTCGTCGCACACATTGGCGCCTGATCAGCGAAGGCTGGGGGTTGGCGGTGCTGGCGCGGAGGCGCACGGAGGGTTTTGGAGGTGTCTTGGAGACGGCGCCGCACGGGGGATTGAGTGTAGTGGGGGCGGCATAGCTTGAGGGGCTATGCCCCCTTCGCTGGCCAACCTGGGCCCCAACCATTTGGCCTATGTGGTGCCCTCACCCTTGCCTGTGTGCACCCTTTGGCACCGAGCAGCCGCGTCTCCCTGTAACCCTAGGTGCAACAAGGTTGATGGCCTTGAAGGTGTGGGAATTAAGAGCATGGGAAAAGAGCAGCGAGGAAGCACAGCAGGACAGACGGCGGCGGAGACATCCAGGCCAGCGCCGCTGGCCGTTCCAGGCCACCGCGTCGGGGAGGGGGTGGCACCCCGGATCACCGCCGGAAGGCGGCGTGCTCGGTCCAGATGGCGCGCAGGGTGCGCGCATGCCGCTCCAGCGCCAGATCGCCCAGCGTGCGCAGCGCGGCCCCGCCCCCGTCGGCGGGTAAGCCCGGGCGGTATGCGTCCCAGGGCGCGCGTGTGGCGGGGACGTCCAGGTCGGTGACGAGGCGGGTGAGGCGCAGCGACAGCCGCGCCGCGGCGGCGCCCTCCTCGCCGGCCAGCGTGGCGGCGGTGCGCTTGTTCGCGCGCGCGCCGCCCAGGCCGCCCGCACGTGCGGCGGCGAGCACGCCCTCCACGCCGCCGTGCGCGGCCAGCAGGCGGGCCGCACCCACCGGGCCGACGCCGGGGACGCCGGGGATGTTGTCGCTGGCGTCCCCGCTCAGCGCCAGCAGGTCCGCGTACTGGTCGGGGCGCAGGCCCGGGAAGTCGGCCTCAAACTCGGGGGCGGCGTACGCGAGCAGGCCGGAGGGCGGGCCGCCGGGGACGTACGCGGCCTTGCCGCGCGGGGCGGGGCGCAGCAGGGTCAGCCCGGGCTGCAGGAGCTGGCGGAAGTCGCCGTCTGGGGAGGCGATGCCCACCGTCATCCCGTCCTGGGCCGATATGGAGTGGGGGAACAGGAGGTGGAGGGACAGGGGGGTTGAGCATGCGGGGTGCACTGGCTCACCAGGCAGACCAAGGACTGCAAGAAACACATCGATGGCCAAGGCATCCGCCCGCCGCCCAGATGACCCGTAGGCCTGCCGCATGCGAGTGACCTACACAGCGCCCTCCAGTCACCATTCCCCCTCGACACGCTATGCCCACCGCCACACCTGGATGCCCCTGACTGCCAGGCTGGCGATGACGTCGTCTGCCTCCACGCCCGGCACGCAGAGCACCGGGATGCCGATCTGCGCGAGTAGGGAGCGCAGCTGCGGCCCCGCCTGCTTGATCTCCGGGGGCGTCGCCTTGCGGTGCGCCTTGTAGTCGGGGTACATCTGGTGCCGGAAGTTCTTGCCGGGGAAGTCGAAGACGGCGGCCACGTGCGTGGCCTGGGGGTTGAGGCGCAGCAGGCGCCACAGCATGCCCAGGAACAGGTGCACGGTGGTGGTGTCGGTGCCGTCGGGGGCCTTGAGCCGCTCCTTGGGCATGGCGTGGTGGGAGCGGTAGATCCAGGCATGCGCGTCCGTGATGATCAGATGGCTTGGAGGGGTGTAGAGAGGGGAGGGACTTTCACAATTCTGATCGGTTCCAGATCAATAGATAGAAGGGCGGCATGGCACCATATCCTCACCGACCGAGCGCACTGCCGGTGCCGTAGCCCGTTGTGGCGTAGCACCGGCCGTGAGGCACAGCACGGCTAGCCTTCCAACATCGTTGTATGACCCTTGTGCATGGCAGCAACATGGGGCGTTGCAGTCCGCAAGGCTGGGAGGCCTGGCAATAACTTAGTTGCATCACGCCTTGGGGGTGCTACCCCCATGCATCTCAGCCAACGGGCTGGTCAGTCCTCAGGAATCAGGACTATATACCCTTTGAATTATTGATCGCGTCATAACAACGTTAGCTGTATTGTATTCAGGATACATGTGTGGTGCATGCCGAGACCGGAAATGGGACGATCAAGTCGAGCGCGCCCTCAGCAGCAAGGTTTGCTCCCGCCCCGCGCACCGTTCATGCGCGCAGGAAGGATCTGCTCGAACTGTGCGCCTACAAAACCCCCATTACATTTCTCCTATCAACATCCGGGTTCCTACTTGCACAGCCTCAGCTCACACCATGATCAAGTGAGCGCAGAGTTGGTAGGGCAACGGTTGGGGTAGGTCGCTTCGTCTGTACCGAACCGTTGCTTATTCTCACTCATCCTCATGTATTTTCGCAACTTCACAGGGGAGACGCTCCATGCTGCGCCAGCGGGTGCTCCTGCAAGGAGAGCTGCAAGTGCGGCGATGACTGCAAGTGCTCCAGCTGCCCCGGCAGCAAGAAGGAGGTGAGCGGGAGGGACGGGACAGGCCGATGATGCTGTGCTGTAGATTCGGGTGTGCGTTTATCACGAGGTCGCTATCGTGCTGTGCCACTCCGGACGACCAGCTTTCCTCAATCCCCTCCCTGGCCGACTCTCGTCCATCCCCACCTCCTGTTCAGTGATACCCCTGGAATGTTCTACACCGTGCATGAAATGTCGCGATGTGATTTCTTGAGCTGCATGTTTCATTATAGCTCGCATATGCAGCTGTATGGCAGTCTGTAACAAGGGTAGATCGAAGCACCATGGTTCATGACGTGGTTGAACAAATATGATTTGTGAGTTGCTGATGGTGAGCTGTTATATTTGGAGACACTCCTGAGTCAACTTACAAACATGCAACAAGAATGATCAAAGGGATATCATGGGTTTGGAGCTGACTTCCATGTGTAGGAAGAATGCAGATCAGCAGGCCCCTACCCCCCCCACCACCCTCGCGCCCTGCGAGGCAGCAGATAAACCACAGCCAAGCATCCAATTCGGCTTTCCATCTTTGGCCATTACATTGGCATTTGATTCTCAGATTACATATTAACTCCTCAACCTGACCCTCGTGGGCCGCAGGTGTCGCTGTGTCTCGCTGCCGGGGCCACCGCACTCGGGGGCCATGTCGGCATCTCCAGGATTGATGCGACCATCCACCTCGTACCCATTCCGAGTGTTCACTAGCAACGCCCCATATACCTGCAAGTGGGCCCGCGGGGCCCCGCGACGGCCTCCGGGGGCCGCTCATGGAGGAGCACGGCCCAGCCAAGCCCGGGCAAGACCGAGTGGCAGCGACGGCATCGATACCGATGTGGAGGCCATGTTTCGCAGGAGAGAGCAGGATTCAGGCACGATTCACATTCAGCCCGACGTGGAGGGGTCCACGGAGCGGATGGACGCAGACGATGCTGCAGATGCTGCTGTAGTAGGAAGTTCCAGCGACCTTGAAGAAGCTCAGGCGGCGCTCCCATCCACCCCGCGACCCACAAAAGCACGGGCACCGGCACGATCATCGAAGGCAGTTGGGAGTCATCGGCAGGTGGTGCGTTGGTCTGTCCTAGGATTAGGTGGGGAGAACCAAGCTCGACTGCAGCAATTTGGGACTGGCTGCATTGCCTGCATGGTCTGCTCGCGGCTACATCACACAGCGTAAAAGGAGTGCCCAGTCAGACTTCTTTGCGCTGCCACCGCACAGTCAGCAAATGTGGAGATGAACATGGTTTGGCGGACGGGCCTTACCAGCATCGGCGCTCTGGTGGGCGTGGCGGGCCTCGCCTTCCTCGGCCATCGCCTGTTCAAGGCACAAGCGCCCAAGGTCCAAGAAGTGAGTCGGAAGGAGGGGTGGTGGTAGGGGGCCTCATATGGTGCCCTGTGACCTCCGCCTGGTGGCTCGCATCCTCGACAGAACTCCCTTCCTTCGACCGCTTCCCCAGCATGGTCGGATGTCTTTGCTGCTGCAACATGCCCAGCGGCCAGCACCCGCATCTGCGCCTCTGGACCCGACGTGCTGCCCCTCCCCCACCCTCTCCCCTGCCCCTCCCACAGGCGATGAGTCAGCGGGGCCTTGCCCGTGAGTCGCAGCAGCGCCTGGCCGACTACATGTCCATCCTGCGCGGCAGCCAGACCGCCGACCTGTCCGCCAAGAACTTAGGGGACGAGGGTTTCGCCTACATCATCGACGCCCTGGCCTTCAACGAGGTGTGCCTGGCCGCCGACTTCAGCAAGAATGGGATCGGCGCAGTGGGCGCGAGCCAGCTGGCGACGGTGCTCCCCAGCAACGGCACGCTGCGCACGCTGCTCCTCGACACCAACGCCGTCGGCGACGAGGGGGCTGCTGAGCTGGCAAAGTGCCTCGTGGGTGCGCTGGGATCTGTGATGCGTGGGGTGCTGTGTCCCGTCGGTGGTGTGTCGTGCCCTGAGCCTGACTGGTCACTCTACCCCGTCCCTTGCCCGTGCAACCTGTGAGCAAGGCAGGATCCGAGGTAACTCTGGAGGGATACTTCATGCAGAATGCAAAATTCAACCCACCTCTCACCTCCGAGAATCATCCCATTCGCACACCGTTCTCCACTGCCAATGTACACTCTCCACACTCCCACAGGCAACGCCTCGCTCAAGTCGATCAACCTGAGCGGGAACAACATCGGGAACGTGGGCGCCGCCGCGCTGGCGGAGGCGCTGCGCAGCAACACCACGCTGCGCATGCTGGAGCTGGGGTCCAACGTGATCGACCCTGCCGGGGTCAAGCTGCTGGCAGAAGCGCTGGAGGTGAACACCGGGCTGCGAGCCCTGACGCTGAGCGACAACTACCTGGGGGCGGAGGGGGTGGAGACCCTGGCGGCGGCCCTGCGCAGCAACACCGTGGTGCAGGAGCTGCACCTGAAGGGCAACGAGGTGGGGGACACCGGGGTAAAGGCCCTGTGCGCCGCGCTCGAGGGCCGTAAGGAATCAGGTGGGGTTTGGGCACGGCTTAAGGGAAGGGCCTGTCTGCCGTGAGTGGGCGAGGAAGGCGAGGCTGATGCGAGAGTGCTGTCATGGGTGGCTTGGCCAGGCAATGCCCCCTCATCTGTACAGACCTCCCTGCATGTTGCCGTGGCAGCCCCAATTGCGCTCATCAGCATGCGTCATGCCTGAGATGACTTCTCATGCGTGCCAGTGCTATGCCTGATGTGCCTCGAACCCCCTCCTCCGTTTTCCCCCCAGCTCTCAAGGTCCTGGACCTGGGCAACAACGGGGTCGGAAAGGAGGGTGCGGTGGCCGTTGCAGAACTCCTCCGGGCCTGCCCGGGCCTGGAAGAGCTCAACCTGTACATGAATGACATTGGCGATGACGGCGCATTCCTGGTGCGAAGGCTGGATACCATTGTTGGTACCCGCGAGCCTCCCCCTCGCATGCATGCATGGGGACGACGGCCCCCTTCCCACCTTTGCATTGGACCCCAGCTGCACTCCCTCTCTGCTCTGACCTTGCTCCATGAGTTCCCAGCTGCTCACCCCACACAACACCCCTCCTCCTGTGGCCCCAGATCGCTTCGGCGCTGAATGGCAACAAGACACTGACCAGCCTGGACCTGGGTGGCAACAACATCGGACCCACGGGCGCCAAGGCGATTGCCGCTGCGCTGCAGGGCAACGCCGCCATCCGCAGCATCGAGATGGGGTACAACCCCATCGGGGCAGAGGGCGCGCGCGCGTTTGCAGACATCCTGAAGTTTGACATGCAGGTGGGGTGGGCGGTGAGGGTCTGGCGAGGTACCTCGCGGTGGGCCGGGGGAGTGCTGTGCAGGTCGGTGGGTGGTCTGGGCCCTGGTGTGCCCTCTGACACTGGGGTGCTCGTGATCCCCCCGCCCTCATCACTCCATGCAGGTGGAGTCCCTGAAGCTGGGCTGGTGCAAGCTGGGGCCTGGCGAAGGGGCGCAGGCCGTCGCAAACCTCCTGCAGTTCAACACCACGATCCGTACCCTGGACCTGCGGGGCAACAACCTGGGCAACGATGGTGAGCGTCGGTGGTGGGTGGGTGAGATGGGGAGCGCTGCTGGGTTGTGGCGTGTGTTGGTGGCGACGAGGGAGGGCCGGCCTTGCACTCTGTCAAAGCCTCATCACTGCCATCCCTTCCTTGCCCCCCAGCCCATCCTCCCTCCGACCCCTTCCCCTCTCCTCTCCTCTCCCCCCCCCCCCTCAAACTCCAGGCGCCATCTTGGTATCTCGGGCACTGAAGGAGCACACCAACGAAAAGCTGCGGGAGCTGGACCTGGGGTACAACGAGATCAAGGACGAGGGTGCGTGCGCGCTGGCGCAGGCACTCAAGGCCAATGCGGAGGGCGCGCCGCGGGAGCTCAAGGTCAACGCCAACTACGTCACCTCCTTTGGCCAGGTGGCACTCACAGAGGCACTGGACATGGTGTACGACATGGCCAAGCGTCAGATCACCATCACCTTCTAGTTGTGTGGCGCTGATGCAGTGGGCTGTAATGTATCAAGGTTGGGGCAGAGGACTCTGCTGCGTGGCCAGCTGGCTCATGAGGAAGGGGGGGAGCCACGGATGGACACTGGCACCGTTGAGGCTGGAACATGGAGAATGGGTGGTATAGGTCCTCGTGAAAATCCAGGCATGAAGGAAAGTGGGGCACACGTCTGGCATCCATTTGCCAGTCAGCCTCAGGGCTGGCCCCTCAGCTTGGTCCCGCAGCCCTGCGGACTCAATCTGAGCCCTCAACTTCGTCGCTGGAGTCCTCGTCCTCGGCGAGGGCCTGTGCCGCCAGCGCAGCCAGCATGTCTGCATCAGCACCCAGGGCCGCAAGGAGCTCGTCGTCCTCTGTCGCCGCCGGGGCTGGAGCGATGTGGGGCGGGGCGGCCGGGAGCGTCGAGGATGCCCTGGGCCGCGCAACGCCCCTCTGCCTAGGGAGCGCCGGCTGCCACGTCACCTTCTTGCCCTTGGGCGCCTGGCTCCACGGCCTGCCCTGCTTGCCCGAGCCTCGCCCAGCCTCCTCGGAGGGCTCCTGCAAACCTTGCCCTGCCTGCTGTGCGCCGGCGACCGGGTCACTAAACCCTTGGGCCTCGCCGGTCCCCTCCAGGGACTGTGAGGACGAGGCGCCCTGGAGCACCGGCCCTGACCCCCTGGACTGGCTGGGTGTGTGGGTGGGCAGGGGCTCCGGCAGGCCAGGCAGGCTCGGCATGTCGTCGTCGCTGATGTGGCCCGAGGGCGTGCCGGCGCGGCCCAGGTGCTGGGCCCAGGTGGTTGCCCTGCGGAGAAGGGCTCGATGCATGGGGATGGTGGTGGCTGTGCATACACCAAAGAGCCACTAGGAAGCCTTGAGTCAGCAGGTATCCTCTGGCAATTCAGAGCCACACCCCATAACGACCCTCGTCGACCCACCTGCGCTGCACGTCCAGCTTCCGAGCGGCCTCCCGCTCCATCACACGCCGGGCGGCGGCGGGGAGGGGCAGCGGGTCAAACGCCGCCTGCCCTTTGTGGCTGGCGCCAGCGGCCTGCCAAACGGTGCGCCTTGCCTTGGCCATCGCCCTGGGAAATGCGGCATACATTGGGCTGGGCTGCTTTGTTTGCCAGAGGACAGGAATACCCAAGTATAATTGGCGTATCCGATGGCCAGTCTCCACCACACTGCAGCCTGTCGCCAGGCGGCTGGCACACTGCCTAGCCACTTGTCGCGGGAACCCTGACATCTAGGCGGCACCCGTACCACCACCCCCCTTCCTCACCTGCTGCCGCCGGGGCCGCCCTCCCTAGGACGCGCCGCCTTGCCTTGCGACGGCTCCGCGGCAGCGCCCCTGCACGCCAGCGCCCCCGGGCCGCTCTGCAGCAGCAGTGAGATCTCGGAATGCTTCGCCTCGGTGTACTCCTTCAGCAGCCTCCCCAGGGTCAAGTCGGCGATGGCCTGCGGCGGGGCTGGGGCGCCCTCCCGCGCCTTGCTCTGCCAGACCCGGCCCAGCGCCGTCTGTGGAGAGGGGGCAGAGGAGACGGGGTGGGCGAGAGGTGGGTGCAGGTGGGCACACGTCGCCCTGCAGGGAAAGGGTGGATCTCGTTTGAACACAGGAGACTCTTCTTCAGCCAAGCATAGGAATGCAGGGCCAGCACCATCACGCGACGGTGACCCTCTGCCAGCGAGCGCAGGACCCTGCAAACCCCATCCACCCTGGCCACGCAGCACCTGGTACTGGTCGTAGAGGGGCACCAGGTGCTGGGCACCCAGGCCCCTCATGCCCGAGGAAAGCACGTACTTGACCTCACGCAGGGTGTGCGCCTCCTCATTCTCCAGCCCTGCACCGGGCGTGGGTTGGTGGAGAGGCAGATGAGTGTCTGGAGTGGCATGCTAGTCAGACTCTGGTGAAAGGGTACCTCACATTCCAGGCGTGCCCCATGCCCCAACCCCCGCACAGTCCAGGCAGTGATGCCCGGACAGACGAGGGACCCCGGCCATACCCGGGGGCAGGCTCGTCTGGGATCCGGGCCTCCTCACGAAGGGCAGGCGGTCCGGGGGGAGCTTGCCACGTACACCAGAGCAGCCGGGGACAAACGCGCACGACCCCAGCAGGCGGCGCAGGATGACCACCGCCTCTGGCCGGCCTCCGGCCGGCAGCTGGGAGGCCAGCTCTGCAGGAGAGGGAAGGAGGCTGGGCCAGCTCATTCATGCCACCATGGGGCTGCCCCTGGCAGTGAATCATGGTGCAGACTGTTGCGCAGGTAGGGGTTGCAATCCAGGGCACAATGTGTGGTGTTGTCAAAGGCAATGTGGCTGCTGGGCAGGGAGTATCCAGCCCCGTCCTCATCTCCGCCCCGAGGCAGACCTGCATCCCTACCGAGGAGTGCGGCCTGGTGCTCCATAGAAAGGTAGATCTTCACTCGCGGCCGGCGGGGCTGCACAGAGTGGAGGCAGTACAGGCAGTACAGGGCCGCCACCCTGGCATCCAACCCTGCGAGCTCCAGGCTCTCCAGGTCGGAGGGGGTGAGGGGCCGGGCACGGGGGGGCAATGAAGGGTCTTGGGCGAAGTCTGCATGCGCCCCGCCCGGAACGGAAGACTCGTTCGCCTGGGGCGCCTGAGCGGCGGCCGGGCCTGCCTCGATGTCCGGGACCGTGCAGCCTCCCGTCAGGATGTGATCCAGTTCCTCGTGTGTGAGCTCCACCTGGTCGGGGGCAGCGCCCGGGGCAGAAGGTTCCGGATCCAGGGAGAGGAGGAGGGCCTCCAGATCCGTCCCCGGCTCCGCCTGGGGCTCCTGCGTGTCGCTCGCTGGTGCGCTGTCTTCCGACGGCTGGGTGGCAAGCACGGCGTTGGCCTGGTCAGCACTCACCCCTCCCGCAACACAGTTTAGGGCGGTGCAGTACCATGCTTGCTGGTACTGACACTTTGAGAAGCTGTAAGGGACGTCCTGTGTGGTGGATGGGTCGAGCGGCATGGTCCAGCAGGGGCATCGAGAAGGGGGCTGAACAATATCTGCAATGGCAATGTGCAGAAGCCACATGCAGTGGCAATGGGAGGGCAGGGAGACAGCGCTCTTTTGCACTGCTTTGCGACTCCATCCTTGGGATTCTCGCGTAACAACCCACCCCACCTGCAGGACATGGGAGAAGCCCAGGTCCAGCCAAAGTCTTCGGAAGTTCGGGAAGCTGGGAGCCTCCCCCTGAGCTACTCGTACCAAAAAATGCAACAGCAGTGCCCAGACATCCCGCTCATGGGGGGCAAGCTTGTTGAGCTTACTCCCACGGGCGAGGGGTTTGGCCAGCTGGCTGGCCATACCGGAGTTATGGGTCGCTCATTGCGCTCGGCGTCTCACAACAGATGACGGGGGTCCGCGGCGCATCACGCACTAAGAATTGTGGACGAACTTGGCGAGCTGCAGGTTTCGAACCTCTTCTCTCCGGAGAGGTGGCTGCGCAGGGCAAGCGCGGGGAGCAGTTCAATGTTTGATGTGCCACTCTCCCGATTCCATGGGCAGCGGGAATGGGCGCAAGATTGCAGAATCTGTCACCCTCGTGTGCTGCCTGGGCCTAGACTGTATGCATCAGGCGTAGCGGAAGCAATTGTATACTAAGAGAGGTGCTAAAGAACATGTTGTGCTGTGTGAGCGGACAAGGAACTATTATTCCTTTCACAAATTGCCTCACAACACTCATGCGCTGGCTCTGGAGCTTCCATCTGCGATAGCAGTGTCCATCAGAACCACAACTTTGATATCTTGTAGATGTTGAACGAATTATTCGGCCTCCTCGTCGATTAAGAGTGCCTTCTGGTCGGGTTACCCATGGCCAACTGACAACCTTTTTCAGCACATCCCGAAAGATGCGTCCTCGGCAAGCGTTCGTTTGTGAGTTTTGAGCATCCGATCTCCCCAGCGACGCCTTGAGCCTTCAATGATCTCTTCTTTTCATCCTACACAACTTTAAGAAGAACACCTCTGGCCTCCTCCACGAGCCCGAGGTCCTGAGTGATGATCAGTCGCACTGGACTCTTGTCAACCTCTCTCCTAGGACAAATTTTATTGTCCATGAAACAAACATGTCTCTGCTGTTTGCTCTGACGCGACAGCTCTTGCGCCGAGACGAGTTGCACCCCCGATCGGTGTGTCGCTGCTGTGAATGCTGTGCCCCCCGAGGATAGGCTCATTCCTCACGCTCTTGTCGTGAAGTCTCGCATGCAACGAGAAAGCTTTGAGGCAGCTATTCCGCCACGTACAGGATATGATTGTGGTGCCTGAAAGCATGCATCCCGGCCATCGCTGAGACTTGGGCATCCACCATGGCCAGCGAGTGTCCGGACGCTTCACGCTGATTAGGCACGATGCCGAGGCACTGCAGCCCGTTCACCAGCTCTAGCACAGCTCCTCCCACTGCTAGAGTATGGCGGAGGACCTCCAGCCCGCGTCCACACCTGGGCATGCCGTCCCACTTTGCTGGACTCCAGCAAGCGCTGGGTAGGGCCCGATACAGACGGAAGCACGGAGGCGCCCCACCGCAAGCCAGGAGGGACGAGGGCGATGTGTCCTTGTACTACACCCCTCCGGAGCAGCCCAAGGGGCCCATGATAGAGCTCCCGGTGCGTCACCTTGGTGCTGCTGCTGTAGTCGGAGAGTGCATGCATGTCTGCCGCCCTGCCCTGGTATGTCCTGCCTGCACCCACCCCCCTGCCTCCCTTGATGCCACAGAGCCAGATCAAAAGGAGAGAGGAGCTCAGTCAGGACGCCCCACCCCTGGAGAGGTACCTGGCGGCGGCCAAGGAGAAGCTGCAGGCGGTGTATGATCGCATCTACTATGGCGATGTCATCCCACCTGTGGGCGCCTACCGCATCTCCTACGCCAGGTGCAGTGGGAAAGGGGGCCATACAAATTTGACTCTGGCTGCAGCGACCCTGAGCAGGTCCCTGATTGGTTTTAGGACAGCACTGGAGGATACATTTTTATCATCTAATTCCTCCTGTAGTTTTGTATTGAGCGTACACCGCCTCACCTGGGTGCTCACACTCTTCAATACCAGGATGCTCGAGCTACTGTCCAAGAAGAGGGTTAAGCGCATCATCATGATGGCAGACGGGCGTCTCGCGCTCATCGAAGCCTCGGTTGAGAATGCCTGTTCTGACTACCACACCATCACCTATGATCGCAACGATATCCGGTGCGAATCGGCTGGTTTGCGGGTGGTGTTTCAACAGCACATACTGTGATGTGATGGCTGTGCGCTTGTGACACCCTGTTTGGTGACCCACACAATGTGCAATCCTCCATTCATCCCCACACCCCCTCTCAAATTGCAGGATAATGTATGCTGCAGAGTTGCCGGAGTGGAAGCAGGAGAAGAATCGTTTCTACTGTGAGGTTCCCGGGGACATTTGGGAGGAGGGGGTCTTCATGCGGCTCATAAAGCAGAATCAGGAGGAGAGGGTGAGCAGGTTGAGCCAAGTTTCCGGTCTGGGGGGCAGGCTGATTCCGGCAGGCATTGTTGGGGTGGCTGTGATGTATGATGTCTCGTTTGAACCATTTGCACATCCCAGGGTCACCATCTCTCGACCTGGTTGCTTACTTGGCGCGCTGCCTACAACAGACCCCACCGAGGTCTGGCAACAGCATCATCCTAGTTCGCCTCCACCCCACTCCCTCGAACTCAGATATGGAAGGATGGCAAAATGTACATCCCAAACAGCAGCATTCTGCGGATGAACGAAGTGCGGCCGGAGCTCCAGATTGTGGACCCCTCCCAAGCGTGAGTGCAGTGTTGCAGCGCATTACGTGTACGGCACTGCCGGGCAAATTATCTCATCAACAGCACATGTAGCTATTCATAGGGGAATCATTTGTGCCTCGCACGTCCAGACCATGCCTGGCATGCCAGAAGCCTATCGCTCGGCCCCAACATGAAGCCATGTGCAACAATGAATCCCCTCCATTCTCACCCTTGCCTCTGCAGGAACGTGTTCCTGAGCCTGTACATGGGCCAGTTCCTGCCCATCGCCGGTCTCCTGGCGCTGAGGGCCCTGGTGGGGGCAGGCAGCCGTTTCTTCACCAGCAAGAAACCTGTGAAGAAGACGGACAAGGAGGAGCAGGCCGAAAAGTATGGCGCGCACCGAGCTCGCGAGTACAACGTCCCCACCACCGACGGCAAGGGGTGAGTTTTTGTGGGGTGAGGCGCAGGAGTGTTGGGTAGGGTTGGAGTGCTCCATGACGAGGGTTCCTGGGAGCAGTGGATGCAAGCTGGACACGCGTAGCTGGGCATCACTTGCCCTCCGACGCGATCTGCACACCGGTGGCTCGGTGTCCATGGCCTCTGAATTCCACTGCATGCGCTCCCTGTGTCCCCTTGCTCCAAACTCCCACCACTCCGCCGCGCGTAGAAATCCGGTGAAGGTCAGGGAGACGGGGGTGCGATACAGCGACGTGGCGGGCATTGACAACATCAAGACGGAGATCCAGGAGGTCATCGACATCCTGCTTGGAAAGGAGGAGTACATTGCCATGGGCGCCAAGCCCTTCCGGGTGAGTGTAGGCGGGGTTTGGCGGGAGGGGGTGGTTGCTTCAGGGACGAAGCCTCGGTGGCTGTCCTTTGGCATCAGCCTGCTTCACTCTGTAGCTCTGTAGCGCTCATCTGTGCTCTATTTGCCTTCAGGACCCCCACCTCCTTCTCACGCTCCAGGGCATCATGATGGAGGGCCCACCCGGCACGGGGAAGACGCTGCTCGCCAAGGCGATGGCCGGGGAGGGCGGGATGCCCTTCTTCTCGGTCAAAGGCGCAGAGTTCGTGGAAATGTTCCAGGGCGTGGCCGCGGCCCGCGTCCGCTCGCTCTTCCGCGCCGCGCGGAAGTGCGCCCCCTCCATCATCTTCATAGGTATGGCGGGGGGTGAGGGAGCAGTGGGGGGAAAGTGTCTTCTTGGGCAGGACGGGGGGGGGGGACAGCGTATCACAGGGCTCTGCCGGGATGCTCAGACCCTAGCATGGCAAGTCTGACCAGCAACAAGCACCCCTCCCTCTCTGCGTCCTGTGCGGGCTCCTTGTCT